TCTTTTTCGTGGCTATATGACATTCTATTGTGTATATGTACCATAATTTCTTTATCCATTCATCCATTAATGTACACTTACGTTGATTTCTAATCTTGGCTATCATGAATATTTCTGCAATAAACATGAGAGTTCAGATATTTTTTCAATATGCTGATTTCCCCTCCTTTGGATATATACCCAACAGTAGGATTGCTGGGTCATGTGGTAGTTCTTTTAGTTTCTTTTCTTTTTTTTCTTTTTGAGACAGAGTCTCACTCTGTTGCCCTGGCTAGAATGAGTGCCATGGCGTCAGCCTAGCTCACAGCAACCTCAAACTCCTGGGCTCAAGCAATCCTTCTGCCTCAGCCTCCCGAGTAGCTGGGACTACAGGCATGCGCCACCATGCCTGGCTAATTTTTTCTATATATTTTTAGTTGTCCAATTAATTTCTTTCTATTTTTAGTAGAGACGGGGTCTCGCTCTTGCTCAGGCTGGTTTCGAACTCCTGAGCTCAAACAATCCCCCCGCCTCGGCCTCCCAGAGTGCTAGGATTACAGGCGTGAGCCACCGCGCCCGGCCTACTTTTAGTTTCTTAAGGAACCTCCATACCATTCTCAATAGTGGCTGTATTAATTTACATTCCCACCAACAGTTTATAAGGGTTCCCCTTTCTCCACATCCTGGCGGGCATTCGTTATTGCCTGTCTTTTTGATAAAAGCCATTTTAACTGGGGTAAGATGATATCTCACTGTAGTTTTGATTTGCATCTCTCTGATGACAAATCATGTTAAGAATTTTTCATATACCTGTTGGCCATCTGTATGTCTTCTTTTCAGAACTATACATTCAGATCCTTTGCCCATTTGTAATCGGATTATTTGATTTTTTTCCTATTGAGGTATTGGAGCTCCTTACATATTTTAGATTTTAATCCTTTGTCACATGGGTAGTTTGCAGATATTTTCTCCCATTCTGTGGATTGTCTGTCCACTTTCTTGATTGTTTCCTTTGCTGTGCAGAAGCTTTTTAGCCTCATGTGATCCCACTTGTACAATTTTGCTTTCATTGATTGTGCTTTGGGGGTATTATTCAAAAAATCATTGCCAAGACTAATGTCCTGAAGCATTTCCCCAATGTTTTCTTTTAGTAGATTCATAGTTCCAGGTCTTAGATTTAAGTGTTTAATCCATGCTGATTTTTGTGTAGAGCAAGCGAGAGTGTCTAGTTTCATTCTTCTGCACATGGATAACCAGTTTTCCCAGCACCATTTATTGAAGAGACCGTCCTTTCCCCACTGTTAGGTTCTTGGCACCTTTGTCAATGATAAGTTTACTATAGATGCATGGATTTATTTCTGGGTTCTCTATTCTGTTCCATTAGTCTATGTGTCTGTTTTTATGCCAATACCATGCTGTGTTGGCTACTACACCTCTGCAATATAGTCAGAAGTCAAATAATGTGATTCCTCTAGGGTTTTTTGTTTGTTTGTTTGTTTTGGTTTTGTTCAGGCTATTCTCAGTCTTTTGTGGGTTTTGCTCAGGCTTTGGCTATTCTGAGTCTTTTGTAGTCCCATATAAAAATTTTAGGATTATTTTTTCTATTTCTGTGAAGAATGTCTTTGGTATTTTGATGGGCATTGCACAGAATCTGCGGATTGTTTTCACATAGAGATCTTTCACTTCTTTGGTAAAGTTTATTCCTAGATATTTTATTTTACTTATAACTACTACTGAAAATGGGATTACTTTCTTGGTTTCTTTTTCAGATTGTTTACTCTTGGCATATGGAAATGCTAGTGATTTTTGTATGTTGATTGGGTATCCTGTAACCTTACTGAATTTATTTGTCAGTTCTAATAGTTTTTTTTTTTTTGTGGAATCTTTAGATTTCTCTAGATATAGGATCATATTGTCTGCAAGCAAGGATAATTTGACTTCTTCCTTTCTAATTTTGATACCCTTTATGACTTTCTCTTGTCTGATTGCTCTAGCTAGAATTTCTAGTACCATGTTAACAGTGATAAAAGTGGGCATGCCTGTCTTGTTCCAGACCTTAGAAGAAAGGTTTTCAATTATTCCCCATTCAATATGATATTAGCTGTGGGTCTGTCATATATGGCTTTTATCGTGTTTAAGTAGGTTCCTTTTATACTCAGTTTTTAAGAGTTTTTATTGTGAAGGGATGTTAAATTTTACTGAATGCTTTTCTAGCATCATTTGAAATGATCATATGGTTTTTGTCCTTGGTTCTATTGATACAATGTATCACATTGATTGATCTGTGTATGTTAAACCATCCTTACATTCCTGGGATGAGTCCCACTTGATCACGATGAATAATCTTTGTAACGTGTTGTTGAATTTGGTTTGCTAGTGTTTTGTTGAGGATTTTTGCATCGGTGTTCATCAGAGATATTGGCATGTAGTTTTTTATTTGTTGTGTTTTTTTCTGGTTTTGGTATTAGGATAATACAGGCCTCATAAAATAAGTTTTGGAGTATTCCCTCCTCCTCAATTGTTGGAATAGTTTATGTAGGATTGGTATTAGTTCTTCTTAGAATGCTTGGTAGAATTCAGCAGTGAGCCTATCGGGTTCTGGGCCTTTCTTTGATGGGAGCCTTTTTATTACTTTGTCTATCCCCTTACTTGTTATTAGTTTATTCAGGTTATGGATTTCTTTCTGGTTCAATCTTGGTAGGTTGTATGTGTCTAAGGATTTATCCATTTCTTCTAGGTTTTCCAATTTATTGGCATGCAGTTGCCCATAGTCGTCTCTAATGATCCTTTGGATTTCTGCAGTATCAGCTGTAATGTCTTCTCTTTCATCTCTGATTTTATTTATTTGGGTCTTCTATTTTTTCTTAGTCTGGCTAAAGAACTGTCAATTTTGTTTATCTTTTCAGAAAACCAACTCTTTGTTTCATTGATCTTTTTTATTTTTTTGTTTCAATTTCATTTATTTCTGCTATATTATTTCTTTTCTTCTACTAATATTGGGTTTGGTTTGCTCTTTTTAGTTATTTGAGATGCACCATTAGGTTGTTTATTTGAAGCTTTTCTACCTTTTTGACATAGGCATATATTGCTATAAACTTTCCTCTTGTTACTGCTTTTTCTATATCCCTTAGGTTTTGATATGTTGTGTTTCCATTTTGTTTCGAGAAATTTTTTATTTCCTTCTTAATCTCATTAACCCCTGGGTTATTCAGGAGCATATTGTTTATTTTCCATATGTTTGTATATTTTCCATTGTCACATGTGGTAGCTGAATATTTTGTGTGCCCTGCATCCTTCCCCAACTTTTCTGGTAATAGACATTGTCCCCCTGGCTTCCAATAAGCAAATGACCCAATTCCAATTCACGGAATTCTTGTTATTTATTTCTAGTTTTATTCCATTGTGGTCAGAGAAAATACTTGGTACGATTTCAATTTTTTTGAATTTTTTAAGACTCAGTTTGTGGCCTAACTGCCTTACAAATTTAGTCCAGGCCTCACGCTATTTTTTATCAGCTGGTGGTGGGGCTAGCTGGAACTTGGGTTTCAGGGCAGAGGATTTCCCCTGGCCATTCTAGTCTAAATGCTCACTCTGCGGGCACCAGCAGAATTCTGCCCTGTGCTGTGTTCCCATGTGTCAGGGTGGCCCTGGGTTTCAATGCAAAGTCCCACAATCACTTAACTCTCCCCGACCCAGGCACCCAGATTCTCTCTCCACTATACATGCTGGTGCAGCACTGCTGGGGGGTGGGGGAGGGGTGGCGTAGGCAATGCAAGATTGTCTTTTCTGCTCTCTTCAGCACCTCTTTCCTAGACATAATGTCGAAACCAAGTGATCGCTCACCTGGCTTTTGGTTCTTCTGAAGGTACTTGCTTGTGTGGATAGTTGTTGAATTTGGTGTTCCTGCAGAGGGACAGTTACTGGAGATTTCTATTCAGCCATCTTGCTCCACCCCTAATAAATTATTTTTAAATAAATGGCAGAGATGTGGCTGGCCTCTGGGAAACCTCAATCCAGGAATCTGAATGGCATTAGGATATATTTTATTTTTATTTCCTAATTTGGTCTGTCTCTGCATGTTGACCTTATTCTCTCAGGCTGCCTGTCCTTGTAGGGCTGGAACTATGGCTGCAGGCTGCTTTGGACATATAGTCATGTAACTAGGGTGAAAAAAGTTCTCCTCTGGCAGCCCCAGTTTTAAAAATGCTACAGAAGTATTCCAATTGGCTAGACTTAAATCAAATAAAGTCATCCTAAGATCAATCAGTATCACCAGGAGAATAGAATTCTGTGAATGGAACTGGGTCATCTGCTCATCTGAAGCCAGGGGGACAATGTCTATTACCAGAAAAGTTGGGGAAGGATGCAGGGCACACAAAATATTCAGCTACCACATGTGAAACTGCAACTCTGAGACAGACTGATGGGATCAGATGCTGCTGTTATAGTAGCTTTTCTATGGATTGATTTTCCAATAATCTGTCCTTTAATAATTCCTGAATTATTGTCTTGTATTTTCCTACCCTTTCTATAACAAAGAACCACTTTATGTTCAGGAATTAGCAGGTAAGTTAGGGGAGTGCATGAATTAAAAATCTATTTTTATGTTCACCATCCTTCACAACTTAGTATCACTAGCAAATTTAGTAAAAATTATCCACAATTTATAACATAAAATTGACTTCAGCATTTACCTCTTTAGCCCTTGACAATTTTTACATAGCTTTATTTTGTAAACTTATCGATCCTCTTGGGAGACCTTCAAGAAATGAAGGTCAAACATGAAAGCAAAGATAACTAAAATCACCTGAAATTCCTATTATCCAGAGATAACAGTCATTAACATTTAGGTGAATATTCTACACTCTTCCTAGGCATACATACATATATATATGGATATAATTTTACATAATTGTTCAATCACTCACTTTGGAAAGAAAATCTATTAAACACCAAAATTTTAAATCACTGTAAAAATGCCTGTGCTCCAAAATAATTTATTGTTATTTTTTTGTTAACAGGTAATGCTACAGATCTCTTACAGGAAGCAAAAGTGCATTACATTTCTCGAAATATTTGTAATTCTGAGAGGAGTTATGCAGGAATAATTCCTGACACTTCGTTTTGTGCAGGTGATGAAAATGGAGATTTTGATACTTGCAGGGTAAGACCAAATAATTTTCCTTAAAAATATTTTCTGAAGCCAGAAGGGAATGTGAACAGGCCTTTGATCACTTTCAGGAGGTCTTAATTATCAGGTGTAAAAATACTGAATTCTTTTTTCTCCTTTTTAACAATCCAACAATCCAAATCTTCTTGGTTTCTGATTCCTTGGTTTCATCACCATCTACCTTAGGCAAGATTTGCCTTGAATCTTTTTTTTTGTTATCATCACCTTTGAGATATAATTCACCCATTTAAAGTATAAAATTCAATGTTTTTTTTTAGTTTGTGTATAGAGTTGTGCAACCATCACCACAATCTAATTTTAGAACATTTCTGTCGCCCCAAAAAGGAACCCGTACCCATTAGGAATCAATCCCCCATTCTCCTGCCACCCACCTCCAGTCCTAGGCAACCACTAATCTTTATAGAGTTGCTCATCCTGGACATGCCTATTCTGGACTTTTATGAGATAATTCAATATTTGAATTATGACTGGTTTCTTCCACTTAGCATAATGTTTTCAAGGTTTGCCCATGTTGTATAATGTATCAATACTTTTTTTTTTTTGCCAAATAATGTACCATTGTATGGATATGTATGGATATACCATGTTTCATTCACCCATTCATTAATTGATGGACATTTAGGCTGTTTTCACTTTCTAGCTTTTATGAATAATATTACCACGAACATTTGTATCTACATTTTTGTGTATCTACATGTCTTCATTTATCTTAGAAACTCCACCTAAGAGTGGAATTACTGAGTTAATGTTTAACATTTTGAGGAACTACCAAACTATATTCCAAAATGGCCACACCATTTTACATTCCCACAAGCAGGGCATGAGGATTACAGTTTCTCCACATCCTTGTCAGTACTTCTTATTGTCTATACTTCTTTATTATAGCTATCCCTGTGGGTGTGAAGTAGTATTTCATTGTGGTTTTAATTGCACTTACTATCCATTTATATGTCTTCTTTAGAGAATGTCTATTTGGATCGTTTTCTCATTTTGAAATTTACTTATTTGTCTTTTTATCATCGAGTTGAAGCCTTCTTCATATATTCTGGATATAAGACCCTTACTAGATATATGATAAGCAAATATTTTCTCCCATTCTGTGGACTATTTTTGCACTTTTCTGATGTTATCGTGTATAGCACAAAAGTCAATTTTTTATGTAGTCCGACTGATCAATTTTTTGTTTTATTTCATTATGCTTTTTGACTCTTTATTCACATTTTCTTCACTATTTCCAAACCTACCAGTCCTTCATTCCCAAGAGTATCCTACACTCTCATCTTTTCCTACTCATTCCCAATTCTGAAATCTAAGGTTTATCTTTCCTGTGTTCTTTTCCTTAAAAATCTTGCTGAGTAAAATAGTAAAAAATCCAGGCCGGGCGTGGTGGCTCACACCTGTAATCCTAGCACTCTGGGAAGCCGAGGCAGGCGGATTGTTTGAGCTCAGGAGTTCGAGACCAGCCTGAGCAAGAGCGAGACCCCG